ATCGTGGATATTGTATTAATTAATGCACAAATTGGATGGTATGTTGCTGTAACTTTAACATACAAATAGAAGAATCTTGCCACCTCGAACTCAAATTTCGCCATTACCTATCTTCAATATGGAGGTCCCAGTAGCAATAAACAAATGTTTAGTTGGTGCTAAAATAATTTTACAAGTCACCAGTGGATAAATAAATGAGATTTTATGGCTTTAAAATAAAGGCATAATGGCCTCCACATTACTGTGAGTGGAAATTTTCAAATGAACCTTTAATGCTAATAAAATCCCAAATTTTCATGTCATGCTACTTCTTTGAACGGATTTTAATAATGCAGTAATACAGTCTCCTATTTATTTTAGTTACAGGTTTTCTGGCCGAAAGAAATAGCCCATGTGGCCATGCAGAACAAATAGAAATGGTGGGCTGAAATAAAGCAGTCGTCAACTAATGTATTGAACAGAGAGTTGTGGCGGGAGATAAGGTGTGATTTAGGCATAAGGTTCCTTGAAATAACCTGATGATCATGAACATAAAGTATTCCTTCTCAACGACACCTTGTTCTATGAACCTTCAAAACCCTCCTCTATTTGCAACCAAAAAGGGCCTGAAAACCCATCAAGGAATTAATGCTTTGCGCTGGTGGAAAAAGCTATAACTTGGGTATATAATCATCCCCTTTGGCAATCGTCGGTCACCGGAGTTATGCAGCAACTGTTTTAATGGTGCCAAACAGATTATAAAATCCATCCATTGACAAAATTAAATTTGATCATTTCGTCCTCGAAGCACCATATGTGCGACTTTCCTTTTAGGTTTCATGTGGCTAATCATATTGTGTCCAACCAAAGAATCGAAGCCACCACTGTATCAACAAATCTATTCTTGAGATATATTATGAAGAACAACAAAAAGCTTCCTATGGAAGATTAGCAGAGAGACTCCGGAGGGTGCTTTCCAACGGTCAAGAAAAACAGTTAACAAAAAGCTTCCTTTGGAAGATTAACAGAGAGACTCCGGCGGGTGCTTTCCAACGATCAAGAAAAACAGTTACAAGGAAGCTGGTATCAAAGAAATGAGCAGCAAGTTGCAGTCACTCTTTCACAATGAAACCACTTTATTGTAGTTTCTTCGCACTTCATTTGAATAGTACATGTGTTGTGTTAAATTCATTAGCTCCTAACTATTGAGTGTAGCATGACATTTTTGCTGTTACATAAGTATGTTTTTTGTAATCATCATTCACTGTTTTTATAGTACGCGGTTCGTAGTGTAGTTATTGAATTTTAGGCTAAGTATGGCTTTATGAAAAAGCTGTCAAATGTAAGACTTGTAGTAGGTAAAGTATGGAAGTCTAGTTGGTACTAAAAACCTTTTGAATAGATTATATATAATGTAATGAAATGAACCAGCAATGCAGAACTAACAATTAAAAACTTTGGCCATTCTTTCATTCTCTTTGTATTTTCTTCATATAACTTCATAGTATCAGAGCTCCATTGATCTTGTAAAGGACCGAGAAGAAGTAAAATAGCACCTGAAACAAATAAAATTAGCAACCAACCAGGTTAATCTTAGTTGATAGGAAAGAAGATGGCTTCAACTGGCTTCTCAGCACCTCTGCCCTCTGCCTTCACGAGAGAAAACTACAACTTATGGGCTGCAAAGATGAAAGCCTACCTCAAAACTTATGATCTATGGGAGATAACTGAAACTGGGTTGAACCTCCACCTTTGAGAGCAAACACCATGGTTGCTCAAATCAAAAAGCACAGTGAGGATGTTGCAAAAAAGTTCAAAGCTCTCTCTTGTAGGGATGGACATGGTCCGATTCGGTTCGGTTCTCTTCAAAATCTAACCGAACCAAAATTTTTGGGTATTGAATAAATGAAACTGTAGGGTCCAAATATAATTATGGAACCGTTCGGGTTTGGTTCCGTACCATAATTAATTTTTTAACGGATTTCTAATGGTCAACAATCGATGGTCGTGGTTGGAGGTCGTGACTTCGATGTGCATTGGAAAGGGGAAGTCAAACTCGATAGTCGACTGTGTTGATTGGGGCATGTAGATGTAAGTTTTCAATTTATCAATTTGAACGTAGAAATTGGGTTGGGCAAGTTTAGCTAGGCATGGACTTGGTTTGGGAGTTAAAACATTAATCACTAAATTAGTTAATTTGCTAATTTGTTTAGAAAAAATTAAAAAATTTAATTAATTTAATATAAAAAATTAAACAAATTATGTAAATTCGGTTCTTATTTGGTTCTGGGTCTAGAACCGAACCGAACCCCATCGGTTCTCAATTCAGATACCCGTTCGGGTATTTAACTTATGAAGAACAGTTCGGTTCGATTCGGGAGTTTTGTCCAGCTCTACTCTCTTGTATCCAGTCAGCCATTTCAGATGCCATCTCACACGAATAATGACTTGTGAGACAGAAAAAAGAGGCCTGGGATAGACTCAAGGAGGAGTTCCAAGGAAATGAATGGACAAAGCAGATGCAAGTACTCAACTTGAGAAGAGACTTTGAGACTTTAAAAATGAAAGAAACTGAGGTAGTGAAGGACTGACGAAGGTTGTAAATCAGATTAGGCTATTGGGAGATGATTTATCTAATAAAAGAGTGGTGGAAATAGTTTTAATAAGTCTACCTGAAAATTTTGAAGCCAAGATATCATCACTAGAGGATTTTAGAGATCTATCATCTATAACCTTGGCTGAGTTGGTTAATGCTTTGCAAGAAACTGAACAAAGAAGGTTAATGAGGCAAGAGGAACAAACAGAGGAGCTATGTTTGTTAAGGGAGCTATGTTTGTTAAGGGCAAATGCAAAGCTCAAATGAGCCTTGGAATGAAGAAATTTAAGTCTGAAAAGAAAGAACCAGAAAGCAGTAAAACTGGAAACAAAAAGGAAAAGTTTGCACCTTGTCCTCATGGTAAAAGTAAGGGGCATTCACCCAAATGGTGCTGGTATAGGCCTGTAGTTCAGTGTAGAGGCTGCAAGCAATTTGGCCATGTCTAAAAGGTGTGCAAAAATAAAAGGGAGAAGCAACCTCAGCAGCAAGCAAAAATGGCAGAAATGAAGATGAAATGCTAGAAGAGCATCTGTTCTCAACCATTAAGGCATGCAACAAGGTTGAAACCTGGTTATTGGACAGTGGTTGCACTCACCATATGACTGCAGACTCCAGCATCTTTGTTGAATTGAATAAAGCCTATAGGTCCAGAGTTAAAGTGGGAAATGGAGATTTTATGGAAGTGAAAGGCATATGGGTGATTGCTATTCAAACTTCAACAAGTATTAAACATATACCTAATGTTTTATATATGCCTAAGATAGATCTTGTTGAAAACTTGCCTAAAATTACTAATGATGCATGTGCCTGTATCTGTGATGTCTGTCAACTTAGAAAGCAAACGAGATTGCCATTCCCTAAGAACCGGTCAAGAAGGGCTGTCAATAAGCTTGAGTTAGTGCACTTAGATGTCTGTGGTCCAATGAAAATAACCACACTGAATGGCGCAGATATTTCATCATCTTCATTGATGACTTAATCACAATGTGTTGGGTCTATTTCTTGAAAGCTAAATCCGAAGTTGCAATTGTGTTTCAAACATTCAAGAAAATGGTGGAGAATGAAAGTGACTGCAAAATAAAGACAATCAGGACTGATAATGGAACTGAGTATAGCTGTAGACAATTTGACAATTTCTGCAAAGCTGAAGGTGTTAAGCATCAACTGATCATTCCCTATTCTTCTTAACAGAATGGAGTTGGTGAGAGGAAAAATAGAACTGTAGTGGAGATGGCTAGGTGTTTGTTGATTGAGAAAAATATTTCGAAGGATTTCTGGGCTGAGGCAGTTAACACTACTGTTTATCTTCTCAACCATTTGCCTACAAAATCATTAGAGAAGAAAACTCTATATGACACTTGGTATTATGTTAAACCAGATATCTCACACTTGAAGGTGTTTCGGAGTGTTTGTTACACTCACATTCCTGATGCAAATAGAGATAAGCTAAGTGAAAAGCTGAAGTTGGGATATTAGTTAGATATTGCAACAATGCCAAGGGATACAGGGTGTTCAATCCTCAGTCAAAGAAGGTAATCTCCAGCAGGGATCTTAAAGTGGATAAAAATACAATATGGAGTTGGGAAGATAGTTCACTAGTCAAAGCAAAATCAAATAATCTGATTCTTCAGAACAGAGATGAAGAAATCAATGAAGATGAGTTGGAACCTGATGATGATTCAGACACAGCATTGGCAGAGTAAAGATGAAGCCTTTAGCAGACATTTATGCAAGGTGTAATATTGCAATTGTAGAGCCTACAAGCTTTGTTGATGCAACTAAGTCATCTGATTGGATGGCTGCAATGGAGGAAGAGATCAGAATGATAGAAAAAAATGACACTTGGGAATTAGCTGACAGACTACTTAATAAGCAAGTGATTGGGGGTTAAATTGGTGTATAAAACGAAGTTGAACCTTGATGGATTTGTCAACAAGCTGAAAGCAAGGCTAGTTGTCAAGGGTTATGCTTAGAAGTATTGTAACACCCCGAAAATTTCAAAATAAAAATATTTGTTTTATAAATTTTATCTTATGATTTTTGAAAGTTGATGGACTAA